GGGACCAGCAAAAAGCTATTACCTATCACTTCATGAATATTCAATAAAAGGAGAGACACTGGCTGAAGAGGAACAAAGAAGCCAGTCAGGACTCAGCTAAGGGTTGTTGACTGGGTCTAGGAAGGCCTATGTGTTGAGGGTAGGGAATTCGGGTATTTTGAGAAAATACCTTGACATTAATGAATTGGTACGCAGGTCATCACTCAGGCATCAGGAGTGACAGGTACAGACCATGACTGCACACAGCCCCAAAGTATGGAACAAGCTAGCAACTCTTGCTACATAATATTGCTCCCAATTATACAATTTTTGTAACCAAATAAGAAAACATGACTAAATTACTCTGTGTGTGTGTGAGTGAGAGAGAGAGATTATATATAATAATGATAAAAAACTTGTATCAGTCATTTAAGTTCTTCTTAGCACTGGCCACATCTCATAGCTAGTATGCATACATGAATTACTGCCATTACAGAACACACAAATACATTCACTATTCTGCCTGAACCATAGATCATTTGGCATTCAGGAAAAAACTTTTTTCCCCACTCTTGTAACTTTTTATTTCTTTTACAAATTGGGCTTTAATATGTAATCTCAGGTCCTGAGAAAAACAAAATGTGTTTGTCTGGCTAAAAATTATAAAATAGAGGCAAACCACTAAGACATAATCCAGATACTGAAGGCTATTAAAATACACATGTGCATGCACACACAAAGCACAACATGGGTATCTACAGATTTAACTGTATTAGAAAGTGTAAAAAATTATAGTTATTTAAATGGCTTTGGTGCCATTGGGTTGAGAAGCAATTTTATATTCCTTGAGTGCAATAAAAAAAAAAAAAGTTATCAATGCATTCCTCTCTGCATGAAAAGACTTGATAAATTCCTGAATTTTACCAGGTGGGTACACTTAAAACGGGGGCAGGCAAATTATGGCCCACAGGCCAAACGCAGCCTGCCAGGCCATTCTATGTGGCCCACGAGGCACATACAAAATTAATATTTATCTACTCCAGGCTCCCTGTCAAATCTGACAGGAGCCCAAGTCAATAGGACCCAGG